GAAGAAGCCGCTCAATCCATATGTGGTAGTCATGACTCTTCATCCCGTTGACTCGCAGAGTGCCTAAGTTCACTCCCTGCTAAGATTCGCTGCATATCCATCTAGAAACATTAACATCTGCATCCATTTTAGTACCTCCCTCCTTTGATCAATTTGCAAGACGAAATTGACCTTAGGCCTTTTCCAGTTCTTGTTTCGGCCACTAGGAGGCTACATCGCTTGATTCAGTCTATCGCACAACGTCGCTAGGTCCACTCTAGCCTTAACATTGTCCTTAGACTTGTCAGTGTCCATGAGAGTTCCCAAAGTGCCTCGGCGATATTCTTTTCAGTGTGCATTACATCAATGTTATGTGGCAGAAGAAGGTCATCGAAATAGGGGAGCCTCGTCAAGCCGAATTTATGAGTCCACATATGTTCCTCGCCATATCCCACAAAACCACCATCTTCATTGGGCACGAGAGCATCAATCTAAACACGAACCTCGGCACCAGTCCTCAAGTGCGGTTTAGGGTATGTCACTTTGACACCTTTCGTAAAGCTCTTGATGTCTTCTCTAAATTCATGGTTTAGAGGGAGGATCTGACGATGCTGGTCGAACGACGAATACTTGCCACCCTTCTTCAACCAAATGAACCTCACGGCTTCCTTGCATACTGGGCATGGGAACTTCCCGTGAACACACCAGGCGGCGAATAACCCATATGCCAGGAAGTCATGCAGGGAGTAGTGGTACCAAACATGCATTTTGAAGCTTGTCTTTGTAGCTCGATCGTATGTCCATACCCCCTTCTCCCAAGCGTGGATCAATTCATCAATCACAGGTTCCATGAACACACCCATATTACTCCCCGGGTGTCCAGGAATTATCAACGACAAGAATATGTTATGCCGTTGAAAGGAGATGCCGGGAGGGAGATTGAGGGGGATAACAAAAACGGGCCAGCATGTGTATGGGGCAGCTATCATTCCATAAGGATTGAACCCATCTGTTGCCAGCGCGACACGTACATTAAGAGCCTCAGCTACTTTGTCACGATGTTTGTCATTAAAAGACGTCCATGCTTCAGCATCAGACAGATGTACCATCTTCCCAGGATTGTACCGTTTGCCATCTTTGTGCCATGTCATCTGTTTCGCGGATTCCTCAGTCATGAATAGCCGTTGGATCCTCGGTAGGAAAGGAAGGTGACATAGCACTCTCGCGGGGATCGGAAGCTGCTTCTTCTGACCATCACCAGAGTCTACCTCCAGGTACCTGGAGGATTTACACTTCAGACAGTAATTTGCATCCTTGTGTTCTTTCCTAAATAGGACGCACCCCTTCGGACAAACATTTATCTTGTCATATGGCATCTTAAGCATACGAAGGAGTTTCTCTGCCTCGTACAAGTTCGTCGGCAAAGTGTGCTTCTCCGGTAGCATGGTGCCAAACACGGCCAACATCTTATCGAAGCCTTCTCGACTCAGGTTTAACTCGGCCTTCAACCCCATTACGCGTCCAATCGCATCTAGCTGAGAAATCATTGTACGCTCATGAAGGGGTTTTTGTGCCGAGTCCAACATTTTGTAGAAGTCCTTTGCGGATTCCTCCATCTCCTTCTCACGTAGTTCAGCGAAGTGAGCTTGGTGGGCGTCATCTAGCATGTCTGCTACCCCGGCATCATCATCAAAAGCCTCGAGGCGTGCTCTCACCACCTCCGCTCTTATACGATCTGCTTCACCATGGTAGATCCACTACTGGTAGCCAGGCGTATAACCATTGAACACAAGATGTCTACCCATGGTCTTCTCGTCTACTTTTCACCTGTTGTCACATTTGCTGCAGGGACACCAAACTAGAGAATGTCCTCCTGCTCCTGGGCCAAATGCATGTTTCAAGAAACCATCTGTCCCCTTCACCCATTCATAGTCGTAGTCACTCCCGCTTCTCCAGCCCGTGTACATCCACTGACGGTCCTCCATCCTTTAACATTTACAGCATAGAGTATTGTGACCATCAATTGCATCTACGCGGTGTTCCTAGTGTCTAATAGGTGAGGATAGGTCCTAATCCCACCCGCGGATGCGTAGATGAGGTCAGTTTCCATGCTCCGCTCCTCTCGGAGATAGAATTTCGGCAGCACCTCCCCGCTGTTCTCCCGATACACATCCTGCAAGGGAGAGTTTGTATCCGGAGAACAACAGGGAGGTGTTGCCGAAACTCCTTCTCAGACCAGAGCGGACCATGGAAACTAACCCATCTATGCATCCACGGGCTGTCCAAAAAACGTGGACAATCCGAAATAGATACGGTCGCAGATACGCAAGGATCCGCATACCTACGACCGTATCTCTTTCGGACGGGAGACGCCTAACTGGGTTACGCGTGGGCTACGACAGACATACGCAAAAAGAGGTTATTTATACCTAGGGTGTCGGTGAAGTAAGGCTAGCGGGGCAGTGGTGAATCGACGAAGTGGCGAGGCGACGCAGTGCAGGCAGAACCGCGACGTCGACGAAGACGATCGGTGTCCTCCAGGTCCCCTCCGACGTACTCTTCTCCTGCATAAAAAGATAATAGGTTATTTTTTGTCCAAAATTTTGGCAGCACCTCCCCTGCACGGGGAGGTTTCCAAAACCTGCAAAAAACGACACGATGGCCGACATTCACAACGACACGAAAGCCGACAACCACAACGGCATGAAGGCCCTCATATCAACTTACGGCACGAAGGCCCACACAACCACATACGGCACGAAGGCCGACAATGAGAGTTTTACCTAGGGTTGCGGTGGAGTTGGGTGTCACGGTGCGGGGGTCACTTTCTTCTCCGGCGAGGTCGAGCGGCGTTGGAGTACTCCTCTCCCCCTCTTCCCTTTCTTTTCTCCTTTTCCCCTTCTTCTCCTTCTCTTCCCCTTCCTCCTTCTCCTCTTCTTCTCCTTTTCTTCCCCTTCCACCTTCTCCTCTTCTCCTTCTCTTCTTCCTCCAACTTCACCCTCTGCCTCCTCCCCTCCAACAGCAGCCGGCGATGGGGGCGGCCTGGGGGCCGGGGTCGGGGCGAGAAGGCCAGCAAGGGGGAGCCGCCGGAGGGCCGGCCGGGGCGGTCGACCTCCCCTTGCTCGACGGAGATGGGGAACGGAGGCAAGGCGCGACCTCGGCCGCCACTGGGCGTGGTGGGGTGGCGGGGCGCGCTGGTGGGGCGCCGGGGCGCGCTGGGCGGCCGAGCGCGGGGTGCGCGGGGTGGCCAGGTGCGCAGCGGCGGGGGTGCGGCAGCGCGGAAGCGGGCGCGCGGCACGGCAGCGGGCACGCGGCAGCGTGGGCACGCGGCGCGGCAGCGGGCGCGCGGCGGCGGTGGTGGAGGCACGGGGCGATCGGGCTCGCGGCGGCCCGGCGCGCAGCGGCGGACGCGCGGCGGTGGGGCTAGCGGCGGCGGTGGTGGAGGCGCGGGGCGGCCGGGGTGCGCGGGCGAAAGTGGGGCGCGCGGGGCGGCCGGGCTCGCGCTAGCCAGCGCGCGTAGCAGCGGGCGCGCGGCGGCGGTGGTGGACGCGTGCGGGCCGGCCGCGAGCGGGCGCGTGGGGAGGGAGATGGTCGAGCGTTTTTTTTTCACAATTTTCGATCGGGAATTTGGGCTGCGGCCCGATTTAGGGTTCGGTCCTTTGCCGAGGGCCCAGATCCACGGCCCTCGGCAAAGATTTTTTATTTTTTTTTTAAACTCTTTGCCGAGGGCCACCCGTTAGGCCCTCGGCAAAGTTTTTTTTTCTGTGAAACCAGGTTATTCGGCAATTTTTTTTAAGTCTTTGCAAAATTTTTTTAAAACCAGTTTTTCGGCCAAATTTTTTTTATAAATCGCCTTTGCCGAGGGCCCGAGGCTAGGCCCTTGGCAAAGAAGTCCTTTGCCGAGGGCCAGGATAGGCCCTCGGCAAAGATTTTTTTTTAAATTCTTTGCCGAGGGCCACGGGCCAGGCCCTCGGCAATTTTTTTTTGGTTTTTTTAGCCCAGTTTTTTTGTGGTGCTACAATACATTGTTTTGAACTCAATTTTAAAATTTAGGCCAATTTTGATTTTGTTTTGTATATTTCCTTAATTTATTTTGATTCTTTGATTTTTTTCGATTATGTCAAATTTGAACTGCAGGTGCATGGAATATTGCAATGTAGTGTTTCGAAAAATGTTATTCATGTTAATTGGTGCATGTTGAGTCCCTATCCACGAACTCACATCAAATTTTCACGCATCTTGTTCGCGTAACATGACGACCGACTTGCCGGAAAAGTGTTTTAAAATTATATAAAATCCATACGAAGTCCAAAAATCACGAAACTTGGCGAGATGTCATGTTATCGCATGTGTAGGCTGTGGTAAAAAATTGAGAAGGCTTCGAGCGAGTTGCGATGTCGGATGCCTAAAACCCAGACATCTCCACTGCCTTCTCAATGTGGGGCCGGGTAGCACCTTCATTTTTATTTGGTAATTAATGTTCAAAGATGAACTAATTAGGCTCAAAACGTTCGTCTCGCAATTTCCCACCAAACTGTGTAATTAGTTTTTTTTCGTCTACATTTAATGCTCCATGCACGGGCCGCAAATATTCAATGTGATAGATACTGTAGTACTTTTTGGGATTTTGATGTGGAACTAAACACGCGCTGATATCCCAATCAGCCTACCGGAGGCTCGTAATAAAGACGGGAGTAGGACATCTCATCGTTTGCACAGGTGCAGACTATAGCTAGAACCTGTACGTCAATAAATGTGACTTGGTCTCCACGCGTTCCACTTGTAATTGTAATCCTTCTGTTGTAAATTGTATGTCATTTTCAATTTTCTAGGTATATATGTAGTTTTTACTGTGTATCTTACATGGCGTATATCTATCTAGGTGAATAAGAAAAAGTTGTGTATATATGTACATATCTACAAAAACCTAACCTGGCATAAAATTTAAAACAGCGGGGAGTAATTACCTAGAATTCAACTATGTGCACCCTCTGCCCCCTGCAAAACAAAGCTTTGTGTACATGGCGAGGGGGAGGCCAGTGAGTGGAAGCCCGAGGTCGACCCGGATGCTATGCAAAAGGCAGAATGGTTTGTTCCTCCTCACATCCATAGAATTTTCTTATTTGATGACTGCACTCCTGAAACATGGATCTCCTCAATCCTGCCAATCCATTTTGATGGCATGATGTTTCAGTTTTCTGTCAATATTTATATTCATAGTTTGAATAAAAAGTTATGAAATTCATTATCATAGAGCATTAATAGAACTAAAAGTGAATCATCAGTGTCATTGTTGTGTGGTTTGTTAAGGGAACATTTTTTTCTCGCTTGATAAGCTACTAAAATAATTATTTATGTACATGTATGTGTTTGCCTAGTCTACATGGTGGAACATATCATTATGTTTACTTTTAACTTAACATTTGTTGAAGTGTATAATTTAGAAATATAAATGGTTTACATTATGAATACTGAATTATTTTTCATGATAGTTTACATTATTATTTATATCTAGATTCGAGAGATATTAATTTTATTTTCGTAACGGTTCAGCAGCATAATTTAGATACATTAGAATGTGTTTTATAATGGCATATATAGATAATTTGAATGCAAACAAAGTGGTTGGTTGGCATTACCTTTCATAATGGTAGATGTGGGTAATTTATTAAAAAAATACTATGGCATTGTGTTAAATTATGTTTCATAATGGCAAAGTTGGGAATTTTAGATACAAAGTTAGGGGCTTATTTTTAAATTATCTTTGATAATGGCAGTGATGGGTAATTTTGTCACAAATTAGGGGGGTTATGTATTTTTCATAATGGTAAAGCTGGGTACTTTTTTTCATAAAACATAATAGATCCAATGGCGGTTAATGTTGACAATGATGATTGGAGTGTACCAAATTTATAGGGTTCATCAAAGAGAATTTCTAGGTTGTTTATCTTTTTTCCTGGCACATCCAATGAGAATTAAGATGGAGGCTTTGTTGGTAATAGTAACATGTTTCATGCATGTCGCATCCGGTTTTAAGAACAAAACCAGATACACACCATATGTGAGTCCAGGAAGTCAAATCTCATATATAGCTACAAATAAGGGTAATATCAAAAGACAATGCCTAAATACATAGCGTATTAGTATAAAGAATACAACCTCAGAGTATAGATAGTGGACAGACAACTCCGATCTTCAGGCGAAGAATCCAAATCCAAAGGGACAACTGACTGGTTGATCACAAGCCTAGTTCCTCCAAACTCTATCAATCTGGCACCCATCCAGGATTTTTTTTCCAAAGATTTAAAAAGTAAAGCAAGTGTAAGTACATGTCATACCCAACAAATATAACATGGGGTTCATGGGGCTCAAAAGGCTGACACTGGTTTAACTGCGGTAAGCTTTTAATGAGTCGTCTGTTAGCAATTAAGTGGCAACAAATTCATCACAAGCCCATAAACACATGATCAGGTAAACATGAATAATGAATAGCATAAGCAGTAATCATTAGTGAGCATCTTCATCATCAGTATCATCTATATTCATCATCTATTCCGTAAGGGTTCCAGGGTCGCTCGTGACCGTGAGCACGGCTGATATACCAGTTTTACACTCTACAGAGGTTGTACATTTTCACTATGAGTCATGATTTACCCTTTCACCTGAGGTAGATAATCTCTTGACCCACTTCCAAGGAAGGTCGGTAGGGTTCACTATGAAGCCTTTCAAAGGTTCGTCTAACAAGTTAGGGCCGCTAGGTTTCTGTAACCTACGAATGTAGAGCTCCCCTTCCGACAGGCACAATAACGCGCGGCCTATACACTGACGGACAGAGGCTGCACTATATCCAACTCGGAACACACCCCTTTTGCGCCACAAAGGTAACATCTAACAAGCCAGAAAAGGTCTTCATACTGAGTTAAAGCCAGAGCCATATAGCCCTCACAGCTGTATTGTAAGTCCCGGATGATCACTTACGGATAAGTCCTTAGGGAGAGGAATCTAGAGCACCATAAAAACAGCCCAATGCTCTACCCCCTTGTTCCATGTTGCTAAAAGGCATCTTTTAATGTTTATTGCATATACCATTAGTCAAGTTACAAGATCATGGTTGTAGTTGAGCACTAGCATCATACTACCCAATGCAACAACCTGAAGGTATCAAGGTACCAGGTAACAAAGTACTAGAAAATCCTTAGTGGCAGTCAAGGTAGACACATGCAGCATGAATTAAATGATTAAAGGTGTATAGGACAACAAGGAAGATCCCATGCCATACTTGCCTTAAAACACCGATCCTTCGGTAAGCTTTAATCTTCAATGTTCTTCTTCTTCTTCTTCTTCTTGATCACCACGTATATCTCACCGACTGGACTTAATCATAAAGCACCACACAAGCATCCATACAATCATACACGAAGCAAATAATAGATCTAAATTAGAGCAATACTACAATCATAGAAAAATAAGTAAAAGAGTTTGAAACATGATTCTACGCATCGCTACGAACACACAAACGCGAGAGGCACGCTAATCGGGGCTACGGTGAAAAAGATACATCTACCAATAGATGTGCTTTATGCGCGGAAAAGAAAACTATAGGCTTCATTTATTTTAACTATATAAAAGCTTATATAAATTGAATTAAATCGAATTTTGATTCGAATTATAAAACTAAAGTAAAACAAGTCATATTTTATTTATAAAATCCAGTTGCATAATTATTATTCAAATTAGAGTTAAAACAATGAAATTCTAGAAAGTGTCATGATAAACATTGTTACTAACGCGTAGATCTCGTTGCAATGAATCTAGTACAACTTGGACACAATACTAAGGTGATACCCATGAAGACTTGGCAGCAATCAACTAACACTCATTGTGTTATGTGGTTGCCAAGCTTGGACACAATACTAACAAGGAGCTCCAACTTCACAATGTGGACCATAGCCAAAACCATCAAGAATGCCAGCCATGTGCCGAAAAGATGAAGTGGCGCCAATGAACGAGACATAGGCCTCGTCACCACCTCACCAAGACTGGCACGAGCCTCTACAGGTCATGGTCGCCAAGTTCGGCATGTAAGCCATCTTTTTTGGAAAGGACAGTAAAAGCTTTGCCGCAAATTTATTAGAAGGATAAAGGTGAAAAAACAACAAATACGACTTGGCCAGGCAGCCACCCACTTAAAACTCACAACTTACATCCGTTTGAGCCTCCAAGAGTTGGAGCACAAACCGAAAAAATGTACAAAGAAAAGAAAAGGCACAACATGAAAAACCACTATCAGAAGCGGCTAAAGCATATTGTTCTATAGCTTCTTTTATCACTACTGGAAACTCGAATATTTCTGAGGGTGATTATTTTTTCTGTGCGTTTTTCTCAGAACACACAGAAAATTTGTAATTTTTCTGTCGGTATCAAAAAATACCCACAGAAATATCGAAAAACCGACAGAATAATTGAGTTATTTTTCTGTGCGTGACAATACACACAGAAAAACAATGCATACCCATAGAGAAATAGCAATTATTCTGTGGGGTTTTTTTAACTCACAGAAAAAACAACACAGGCACAGGAATGGATTCGTCGCGCCCTATTTTCGTCATTGGCGCCTGCCTTCGCGCGGTATAGAATAGAAAAGAGTGAAAAAACACCCTAAAAGTAAATCATCCCGCGGCCGCCACCCTAACCCTATCTCAAACGCGCCGCCAGAGGCCGAACTCCGCAAGTCCGCCGCTCCCGTAGTCCCGTCGCTCCCGGCTCCAGGTCCGCCGCTCCCACCTCATCCCGTCTCTCCCAGCACCAGGTCCGGCGCCCGCCGCCCGCCGCCACTCGGCCCACCCGGCCGCCACCGCTCCTCGGGTATCCCGGCACGCCAGCCGCCGCTGCCCATGTCCGCCATCGCCCCCGCCTGACGCGCCGCCTGCCCCAGATCTGCCGTCGCCCAGCCCCTCCAGCGCATGGAACCCCGAGCGCGGCCTGACCTGGCGAGCGGCCCCTCCCGGCGCGTCGTGCCGCTGGCCACCGCTTGCCCCAGATCCGGTGCCGGCGCCGCCTCTCCTGCGCACGGTGTCTCGGGCACGGCCAGTGCCGGCAAGCGGGCCCACTTTTGAAGCCGGCAACAGCGGATCTGGAGGAGGCCGCCACCACGCCCCTTCCATGTCCGGCACTACCCATTCACCGGCCCTCCACCTCCTCTGGGCCGACCGGACTGGAAGAAGGGGAGGAGAGCTGCGAGGGAAGCCCACCTGCAACACCGCCGTTGCCGCTGGTGAGCTACGTCTCTGACTGCTTCCTCCTTAGGTCGTGACTTAGGAGTTTCTCCTGGTCGAGATCTCTTGTGATTTGCCTTGTTTGTCGTATCATCAGATAGATTTACATGGACCATTGACTACTTTCAGTTCCCATTCCCTGAAACATGTTTTTGCATTCAGTGAAGTGAGGGTTGAAGGTTTGGAGACCTTGGACTATCTTGACAACTTGCAATCCAAGAATCGTTGTACTGAACAAGGAGATGCAGTTGTATTTGAGTCTGAAGTAAGCTTGTGTTCTGCTAAATTTCATGGTTTGACGCCATTTCTGTACCAATGAAACTCTAATTACATTTATATGTTGTTTTTTGAGTAAGGTGGACAAGGTATATTTGAGTGCTCCGCCAAAGATTGTGATCATTGACCACGAGAAGAAAAGAACATTTGTTTTGAGGAAAGAGGGACTTCCTGATATTGGTGAGTTAGGAGTTATTAGGACCTTTTTTTATTCGTCAATTACAATGTTGATTTGTGAAATTCTGGGTTTTAAACTATTATGGATGTTGGCCTTTTCGTTTTGCAGTTGTTTGGAACCCTTGGGACAAGAAGGCCAAAGCAATGCCAGATTTCGGGGATGAGGAGTACAAGAGCATGCTATGCGTGGGGGCTGCAGCTATTGAGAAGCCAATTACTTTAAAGCCAGGTGAAGAGTGGATAGTAAAGCAGGAAATTTCTTATGTACCATCCAGTTACAGCAGCGGACAATTGGATCCTGAACTGATTCGTCGAATGCACACAATATAAAGTTTACCAACGATTGCCTCCTATGTGAGTATTCTGCACTTACTTTATTTGAGTGTTAGCAAATAAATCGTGCCTCCTTTCTTACAATATTCTGTTAGCCACCAGTTTACTTGTAAAACCATCTCTAGCATAGCTGGTAAAAAAATAATCAATGAGTAGGCACTAGTTAATAAAACCAATATTTAACCTCAAATAGGTTATCGCTGTCACTTTTAAAATGGTCCGACAGTTGGATTTACATGTAAAAGATGGCCAAAGTGTGAGGAACACAGGATTGACATAAGATCTCCGTATGTGTGGTTATAGACAAGAGATATTTGTCTTGAGAGGACACAGAATGGAGAGCTATGTTTTGAGGACAGCAAATACAAAAAAGTAATTGCAGTGTGCATATAACACTTTGATCCTTTGAGGACAGCAAATACAAAAAAGTAGTAGTAGCACCTCTGATTTGTTGTATTTAGAAACTGCACTGCCATTTTGATTCATGAAAATCACAAGTGGAATTGTCCTGCACCTTAGCCTTGCTTTGCTGGGTGAGCTGGGATTTCTGATGCTTTTTGTGGTTGCCTGTGCAGGCTGGAGCAGGAGTGAGGCTTCTACTTCAACATGAAGCACTTCGAGGACCTCGTGCAGGGCGGCGAGTGGGATGAGTTGGAAAGGTACCTCAGCGGCTTCACCAAGCTGGAGGACAACCGCTACTCCATGAAGATCTTCTTTGAGATCCGCAAGCAGAAGTACCTCGAAGCCCTTGATAGGTGACCGACTCATCACTACGCTACTCTTGGTCCCTTGTTGTTGTCAAGGTTGTTTTTTTGCTGAATTTGCTGTCGGTGTCACAGGCATGATAGGGCCAAGGCTGTGGAGATTCTCGTGAAGGATCTGAAGGTGTTCGCCTCCTTCAATGAGGAGCTGTTCAAGGAGATAACACAGCTGTTGACCTTGGAGAATTTTAGGTACGGTAACTTTCCTTTCAGAAGCAAAATGTATAGTGCATTGGGCCGGTGCATCCAGATGTGATTGTGTATTGATGATCAACAGGCAAAATGAGCAGATGTGATTTTGATAGTTTAATTTTGATATGTTTAATAACACATATTGACTTCCTTAAAATATCAGGAATGCAATTTGTGAACAGAAATTCTATGGTGCCTTTTGGTATCAATTCAATTAGGTTGTATGGTAGAATTTAATTTTTATGTGCACAACTGATATAAATCAAATAGTTTAATCACGTAACTGCTACTTGTGTAGGTTTACTATTTTTGTTCTTTATCTTCTTTTTGGTTATTCTAATGCCAAATGATGTGTTTCTTTGACTTCCCTTAGTATTTATGGATGGATAAGGTGACAGTTAAATGTAGTCGATGCTTCCTTTGTTCATTTGACTTGTTGGAATTTTATTGCTCTTGGTTGTTCAGCGCTACAGAATCTTCTTGATATGGTTCTTTTGGGACTGTTTTCATGTGATTTGGACATCTCTACCTGTTTATCCCAAGTAACCAACTTTTATCGACAATGTGCAAAGAAATTTTATCACTTTATAGCGGCTCTAGCTTTAGATGCTTATGTTATAGCAGATACCATCCTTTTTTCCTTATTGTAAGGTCGTATCCATACATGCAACAATTGGGATTTCTCTACTTGTTATGCCTACAAGTCTAACAGTGCTTCCAGAAGCACATTTCGTACATGTAAAAGGTGAGGCTAACTGGGCTTTATTTCTTTCTTTCTAATGCCTTTCAGTCTGAACTGGCAACATCAGCTCTGCAAGAACCCCAGACCAAACCCTAACATCAAGACACTCTTTACTGATCACTCTTGTGCTGCTCCTACCAATGGAGCAAGAGCACCTCCACCTACCAATGGTCCGCTTGTTGGATTCATCCCTAAGTCAGCTGGATTTCCACCAATGGGTGCTCATGCTATAAGTATTATCACAAGCAGGCCATTTAACTTATCCTGACTATTGATTGCTTATACTGGTTCAATGTTGTAGCCACACCAATGGGGATCTTCATGCTGCAAACCTTGACAACAATCAGGGTTCCGACAACAATGGCGATCATGCATCGATAATGTGATGGTTGTGTTAGCTTTAGTTTTAGCTTTAGTTTTAGTTTTAGTTTTAGCTATAATATGACTCAATGATGCATGCTTGTACTTTACTCATCTTGACTGAGACTTAAACTGTTGAGATGAGATGTTAATGCTTTTGAATGTATTGATGCCGGACCATTTGGACAACATCTATATGTAGCCCGGATGCCATTAATGAATGTGCTGAACATTTGGATCTTTATATGTATGCTATCTATTATGTTGTGATGAAATTACAGTATGGACAGTCCATATTTGCTGCATGGTTAATGGTTTTTTCTGTCGGTGGTTCTTTTATTTTTCTGTGCGTTAACCGAGACCGACACAACATTTAAATTTAATCTGCCTAACGCAATTTTTCTGTGCGTGTAACACCTACAGAAAAATCATTTTTCTGTCGGGCTTTTCCTTTTTTTGTGAGGATTAACGCACACAATATTTAAAATTAATCTGGGTTAATGCAATTTTTCTGTGCGTGTAACACCCACAGAAAAATTGTTTCTGACGGCGAACACACAGAACAATTGAATTTTTCTGTCATCATATTTCTGTGGGTATTTTTCTGAGGGTACACCGTTAGAAAAATATTTTTCTGACGGGATTCGTATTTTCATGTGTGTTTTCGCACACACAGAAAAAAAACCGAGTTTCCAGTAGTGTATGATGAAAGCAATATCTGACGAGTGCTTGGAAACTTACTAGATAATTCTCTGTTTGCGTTCGTTCTAGAAATTCCACCAGAAATGGATGATTAGTCCGTCTAACTCCCTCTGTCTTCTTTTTTTCAATCTTTGAGTCTTGATCTTCTCCACCATTTTTATGGTGACGCCTGAAGAAAGACACTGCTGACCATTAAGAAATTTCACCAACTCAGAAGGACATTCCACACCTGTTTTGTGAAAGTGCAATAATTGCAAAGGTTAATCCTTTCATTGGCGTCACACGGTTTGCAGATAGGGTCATGTTTTGCCATCCATTCTTCTGGAGGTTTTCTGCAGTGAGAATCTTTCTATGAAACAGAGTCCGCACAAAAGAATTGATTCTTAGGCTCAGCCTTTGCCTGCCAGATTGGAGCAATCTTGAGCCTACTTATTACATCACCTATGAATTAGATAAGCACTACCTCCAATTCGAGTACTCTCTATTTCAAAATACAGCAGTGTTCACATTGATTTTCCTTCGCCTTGTCTTCTGGTATAGGCGCGGGGTGATGTTCCGTGCAGCCCTGCCATCGATCCATCATGAACAACAGAGTGATGTTTTGTCCCCTTTTCCAACAGATACAATGTTTGAGGCATGAAAAAAGTCCCAATCGGCCTTCTCACAAGGAATGTCAAGTTCCCTCGATGCTCTGTGTTGACCTTTCCATCTGAACCATAACCACCGTAGTCGAAGGGCTCAAGGAAAACGTTCCAAGTCTAAAATTCCCAAACCTCCTCTATTTTTTGGCCTGCACGAAGATGTCCACCAGACTAGGCAATGACCATCATTTACATTTTCCAGGTCATCCCCTTTCCAAAGCAATGCTCTTCTTTTTTTTATCAATCTTACGAATTAACCACTTTTGCACTGGGAAACTGTAAACTAGTAGATAGGTTGCGAAGACAAGACTGTTTTAACTAGAGTTTCTCTTCCAGCCTTATTAAGAAGCTTTCATTTCCACTCCGGTAGTCTCCCACTAATTTTATCAATGAGTTGTATGCTGCGGAAGGCCTCAATACTTCTCTTGAAAGGCACTCATTTTTCCATGGAAGAGGAAGATATATAGTAGTGCCTGGACTTGTTGTGTAGGGAAATTGGTGATTGGTTAAATCTTAGTTTTTTCTAAGTTGATTTTTAGGCCAGAACATCTCCAAAAAAAAGTAAAGAATGCATGATTCGGAAGCCGAAGGGTTAGCGATAACCCCAGCATCATCAGCACAGAGAGCACCTTAGCTTTGCTGCTTTAGGCAAGACTAGCCGGAGGATTCCAAAATTCGCCACCAACTTGATCAATTTTTGCAGTAGGTCAATTACTAAGATGAAGAGCATAAGCAACAAGGATCCCAGATCGATTTGGGCTTTTGTGCCCACCTCAGTCCTCAGCAAGAACGGAAGTATGCGGAGGAAGATGACGAGACGAGATGGGCAGGAAATGAGAGAGGAGAGCAGAGAAAGGGGGTTGACTGGTAACAGCAAGTCTCGCCATGCATGGGGACAAGACCTGCAAGCCACGTCGTTGTCGTAGCAGCCCAACAAAAGCTAGGTGTGAATGTGAACGACAACTGTCTATTATTATGTTGTCTATTATTATGTGAATGTGAACGACGAGGACTGTCTATTACTCCGTAACTTGGTAGGTTAGGTGTGAATGTGAACGACGATTGAACATCGTGACAATGTCCTAGACAACAGCACCAGCTAGCTTGCTGTTGTGGTTTATTTAATGATCAGTATGCATGTGGTGCTGGAGCATAGGGCCGGGCTCGATCAATCGCGGCAGCTGGAAAGCAGGAAATTAAGGTTGGTGCACTTACTAGCTATAGTACCGGGGTGTACCGTGTACATCAATAATATGTATGGCCTTCAGTCTCTACTGCTACTCGTAGATACAGTAACTTTGTGTTAGATGGCAAGGTGGGCCAAGTTCAAGGCCAACCATATCCCCAGCAAGCTGGAAAGCAGCAGAATACGAAAGGCAAAAAAAAAAAAAAACGATTTTCTCGTCCACGTACAGAATCATCCTGTCAAACAGCTCTCCTCCTCCGTCCATCGCTTTCGATGGCTGGTCGCATATATAAATCGTCTCGTTTCTCCATTTTCTTTTGTGCGAGAGGTAGCAAAGTGTGAATAAACCGACACTCATAGTCACAAGATGTGGACCAGTGGAATAGAAATATGAAGCCAGAAAGTGATGGGGG